CCTAGCCTGTCCAGGTCTCGCTGAATGGCAGCTCAGCCTTCTGCTGTGTTAGCCACTCCTCCCAGTTTTGTATCATCAACAAACTTGCTGAGGGTACACTCTGTCCCCTCATCCAGGTCATTGGTAGTATGTTGAACAAGACTGGACCAAGAACTGACTCCTCAGGCACACCACTAGCTACAGGCCTCCAACTACACTGTGCACTGCTTAACACAACCCTCTGGGCTCTGCCATTCAGCCAGTTCTCAACCCACCTCACTGTCCACTCATCTAACCCACACTTCTTAAGCTTACCTATGAGGATGTTATAGGAGACAGTGTCAAAAGCCTTACTGAAGTCAAAGTAGACAACATTCACTGCTCTTCCCTCATCTACCCAGCCAGTCATGCCATTGTAGAAGGCTATAAGTTTGGTCAAGCATGATTTCCCCTTGATGAATCAATTCATCCTTCTCCTTGATATAGAATGTATTTCTAATCCTTCTGCCTTCTTAATATCTCCATTTTTCAATGTCAAATTTATCTTCAGTGTCTGATTGTGGAATCCTGATGGACACAGCATTCAAATACCTGTGTCCCTAGCAAGAGTTATAGCAAGGAGCAGGTCAGGAGAGGAAATAATATCTGTATGCAGTCAGAGGACATTAAGGTGCTTGTCCATAAGGTGGAATTGGCCAGAGCCACATAAATCAAATATGCAGTACATCTGCTTGTGCTGATCTGCTCTGGGTTCCTAAGGGTCTTGACCCATGGTGTTAGTCCCTTGTTTCTTACGGTAAACATATGACACTTTACGCACAGGCTCCATGGAGCATTAGTTCCCAGTTTTCCTTAGCAGGGAAACCTTAGCAAGTATTATGGGGGAAAGTTGGCCTCAAGGTATAGGCCCTATGCATTGCATACACGTGAACCAGTCTATACCTTTCGGCCCAGGGACCATGGTGTTGCTGTGCATGATTTCATTTTGCTATTTTGAAATTCTAATTTCAACCTCTCTAGGTTATTTTACTCTATTTCCTTGCATTTTAGATGTTCTTATGTCTCCTTATTTTATGATCATCTGAGGCTATTGCATACATATCCTTGAAATATGGACTGCTTACCAATGTCAAGAGATGCTTTTCATACTCACTGCTGAAATCATACTCTCTGTCAATGTCCTGGGCAGGTTGGAAAGATGCCATCAGCACTGCAATAATCAATTTCAATAATGAGAACATGCAGATCACATGGGCAGCAAGAGAACTATTTCCCAGTGAGAATGTGTCATTTTCTTATACGTGAGTATTGACCATGCCTGTTCTTCCCTTCTTAAAGGATTTACTTTGTGAGACTGAAGTATCTAAGTCCATTTGAGTCTTCTGTGAACAGTGCCTGAAAATGCTTTTAACATTTGTTAATCGTCCAGCATGAAACCTGTTTATATTCACAACATGCTACAGAAATGTACACATCAATAAGCCTGCTGAATAGCCAGTCACAACAGACATTATATGAAAAATTTGTCCCTCTTCTGTTGTTGTGCTAAATGCCAATGCTAATTACAGTATTAAAAGTGTTTTTTCCACATATGTGTGTATATTATCCTTACTAATTGACATTAATAACTAAAAGAGATTTAATGTTTTGGTTAAAGACAGTAATAGTGCTTAATCTTACCTTTTTCTTCTGGGTGGTATACGTGAAAGAACTTTTAGCAGTACGGTCTTGGAAACAGGTTCATGAAAACATCTGTTTGACCAAGTCACTCTCGTATTAGAAAACAACAAAATGAAAGAAACTTGATAATTTCAGACTGCATCAAAAACCCAGTCAGTGAGGTCTGGGTAATGAATTCCCTGACACCATTATGAAATATGCTGCTTCCAGAAATTCCGTGCGCAGACATCCCTTGGTAGGAGTATTTGGAAAAACAAACAAACAAAAAACAGTAACAAAAATAAATTATCTTGTGTTAACTGGTAAGAGTTCCATTCACCAGTATTATTTCATTTATAGATTTGATGAAGGCAAGCACAAAGTTTGGAAGCCATGTCCCACCTATTTATTGGATCAAGATTATAATTCTGGATGTCTTTTTAAGACAGAAGGACCCACCCTTGCCATCTCTATCAGGAACAGCAATGGAAGTGAAGAATTTTTTTCTAAAAGACTAAAATCTGACTTTTATAGTAAGTGTGCAAAATTACTACTACTTTGGCAGTCCCAGTGTCTTCACTGATTCTCTAGTTGTCCTTAGTTTGAGAAGAAATCAGTTATACTGGTGTATAAAATCTTATTAGTGTGTGTGTCAATACCAAACTATAGTTATTTCATGTTGATTTTTATTCCTTGCTGTCATCAGTAGTTACAGAGGCCTGTTTGCAGCTGCAGCTAAATGGGATTACATGAGACAGTCAGATTTGTCCCAAAAGACAGTTTCAAAATTAGAATGAAAATACTAAAATATATGGGTGTGCTTAGTCTAGTGCAGGCCTGCTCATTATTCATATCAGGAAAATGCATAAAAGTTGATAGTTTCTTGTCTTAGTGCTGGCTGCGTGAGCTTTCTCCTATTTTCATCCTTCCATTCTTTTCCCATCTTCCATGGGATGCGAGGCAGCACACTACTTGTTAAAGAGACTGTCATAAAACCATCATCAGGTGTCAACAGAAATTAGCTGAGTGGTTCTGGTACAGTCTGACAGCATAAAAGAGACATCCTCCTACTAGTAGAGAGACAATGTTCCTGTTTTTATTAAGTCCCTGTTGCCCCCAAATATGTATTTCACATCTAGTGTGAGATTAGTTTATCAAAATCTTCTGGAATTGCACATAGTTGCAGCATTTAAAGTGGAGGGATTTTTTCTGATAAAAATCATGCAGAAAATATACAACACAGAATTATCTGAAAAAATATATTCCATATATATTATTAGCATTTATTAATAATGTTTTAGCGAAAAGGATTAAACAAAAACTCTTCAAGGCATCTAACTTTGAGAATAGTTTTATATCTCGTAATTTTAGCAATATCTAGTAAATTATGGAAAGCCGCAGCCTGATCCTGAAATTTTGGCTATTAAACACCCACTGACAGTTAACTGAATTTCAAAAGGGTTAGATAACAAAGCACAAATATCAAGGATCAGATTTAAGTCTTTAAACTGGGAAGGCAGAATTTTCATAATACAAAAAGACAAATAGAAGGATTGAGAAAGCAAGTAACACTTTTCTCCTCCCTTTATTTGTCACTACTGACGACTACTAACCAGCTACACAGATCAAATCATTACATGCTCTTCAGACCATCTGAAAATGGTGAGGGGTAGATTCAGTTGTGCACAGATAGGCACCCAGTGCTTTTTGCAGATGCTCTACTGTATCCCACATAGCCTCCAGCAGCTGCAGAAGTGTGTCTTGTAGGCGTTATGGTACTGAATTTGTGGGTCCCTTTACAATGAAGAAGCCTCTTTCTTTCTCTTGATTGGAGGGAGTATGAGGAGACTGGACTCCTTCCTTAAGTACTTGCAATAGGTTCATGACATGAGATAGTATCTACCTTTGAATGTGGCACCTCAAATGGTGAGAGGTGTCATGGTATCAAGCTCCATTTTGATGTTTAATAGGGAAGTAAGCTACACAAGTGCGTCCTCGAAGAAGAAAGTTGACCTTCTTCACTTGCTACTCAGAGAATCATTGAAACAAGCAAGGAATAACAATAATTTTAACCTATTTTTAAGAGACTATAACATAATTTCTTTCTGTTCTTCTTAGTAAAGCCCAATCGACCAGAAAATGTAACCTTCTTCTGGAAAGAGGACACTGTAACTGTAAGCTGTAATAAACCAGAACGAGCTGTGAAGTGCTTGAGACTTGAGCTTCAATACAAAAGCAAGTTTGACAAAGACTGGCAAGTGAGTTGGACATGACACTTTTAATAAACATTGGAAGGAGTTGGAAGTAGCATCTCCATAAAATGTAAAATACAGTTGTTTTCAAATTGTTCTCCCATCCTATATTTTCAAATATAGCTGGCAGCAGAAAACAGATTTTTAGGATTCTGGATCCCTGCCATGCCAGAAAGCATTTACTCTTTGAGTTATATCTAGTTGCTACCCAAAGAGCTGTGGACAATCTAAGGAAAAGGTCTTACATTCAGAAGACAGGAGTTTTGGAAGACAAAAGCAGAAAGAAGAGTAGAGGTAAAAGAAGAGAGAAAAAGGGAGAAAAAACCAATGAAATAGAATGAAAGAAAAGAGATAACACAGGATTTTTATTTATTTAAAAATTATCTGTTAGGTGTTTCTAAATATTATTTCATTGACTTAAACCTTTCCAGTCTCATATATAATTTGTAAGTATTTTGTGGATCAAAGTGTCTTTGCATATTGTAAACATGTAATTGTAACATAGTGCACTATGTAATGATTGTTATGAATTTCAACTCAATATCAGACAATGAGAAATGGCTATGAATAGTAAAGAGTCAGTCAAGAAACAGAATTCCTCAAAACTCGGAGAAGTTAAAATGCAGTTCTGAGGTTTTGGGTTGGCCTATCCCTTGTCCTAGATGTGACCATGACAGAGTGTAGCATTCTGAAGCACTGTCTTGAAAACCAGAATTAACGATGATACACCTTCCTTCTCAGTCCAGAACTTCTAAGTGTTGCAGTGTTGGAGAGCAAGGCTTTGATCCAAGGAAATGCTATTCTTTCCGGGTCAGACTGAAGAGGCTAGTACCCCACTGCAACGTAGTTAATTACAGCAGTGATTGGGAAGCAGAAACATTTTGGATGAATGGCACGTTATTAGGTAACATCTGCGCTACATTCATATGTTGTCTAAGAACAAATGGGGAAGGGGTGACTGCAAAAGACACTAGGAAGATACAGCAAATTAATATTGCACCATTGTGCTCCATCTTCTGTTATCAAAGAAAGTTCATGTGGATGTCTAATTGCACATGTTTAACTCCTGTCCACTTTGCACCTGATAGCCCATAACACTATACATGTATGCCATAATCAAGGAAATTAAGGTTGTTCATATTTTTTGTGTTACAATAGTGTCTAGGGTCCACCAATGACAGCGATGTGATGCATGGAGGAGGGTGTGTGTGTCCACATAGAATATCCCTAAGAAAATCCTTGATGCCCCATTTTTGAAGGCAGTTTGTTTTGAAAGTACCTCCAGTTGAACTACAGGACTAGACATCATAGCAGCCTGATGTTCATATGTGCTGGATTAATTAAAACAGGGAGGATGGAGGAAAAGAGATTAAATGGAAGCAAAGTTAGTATCAGCACTGCTTTTCCACCAGACAGGCACATTTAACTGAGTGCGATTGACCACCTTTGATGGAAACAGTATTTCTACTTGTTATCAAAACCAAAACCAGATTTGCTGTAGTCAAGAAAAGACTGTACACCATTGCAGCACATCATAGGTATTAGCTAAGCGCAAAATGCCACCCACTAGGCTTCATCAGAGCTATGAAACACCCAGATGTCCAGTGTACCCAGATCTGAGTTCTTTAAAATGCAGTGGGCTATTAACTTACCTGAAGAAAATCTGTATGCACCAAGCTGGGATGAAATCCTGGAGCATAAGTATGCGTAGCCTGTGCACCAGTAGTAGCCACAGTGCTGACCTCCAGAGAAGCCTCCTCCAACCATCAAATTGTGAGCCTGCAAGCATGTCCTCAGGTGTGACTGGCAAATGCCCTTAAGAAAACACAGAGGACAATGTCTCCCTGTGCACCTCTGAGAGGTGAGCACATAGCATCCCTACCTGGACCATTTGATCAGAGGCTGCCAGCAGGTAACTGCAAGGACAGAAAGCACAGAGGAGACAGACTAATGTTTCGGTTGCTCTGGGTGTCCCTGGATCAGAAGTGATATTGGCACAGCCCCTTAACTTCACTTCAGGCCTTTAATGAGTTATTACTGACTCCAAATCTAACACCAGAGGAAGCCATGAACAAAGCTTTGCTCAAGAAATTTCAAAGACTCTCAGGGATCACAATTTTCTTGTGGCTTTCTGGCAAACTGAACAAAGCAAGCAGGTGGAGCAGACTGGACAGTTGCTCCTGTATGAATAATCGGTTTAGATTTTATAGTATTCATGTGGAGAGCAGAAAGTCAGTAGTAGGAGGTAGACTTTTGAGGTGGCATTATAAAAACTGGAGGAAAAACACAGAATGCCAAAAAGTGAACAAATATATACCTGTGTGTTAGATGATATCCTGCCACTAATTACTTTCTGGTTATCAGCACTTGTGGTTTGCTAGCTTTTTGTTTGCTGGGGTGGGGGACATGTTTGTTTGTTTTATCTTGGGAAATAAGACATTTAGGCTACATGTAAAATTGCACTTGCAGCTTTAGTGATTGTAAGTAGGTGTATGTAATATAGATCTTAGCACAAAGTTGCTGTATCACTGTCAATGCAATGTGATGAAGACGAGAAGAAATACTTAATTCATTCATAACACCTCTACTCTTTGCCTGTAAACCTGCTCCTTTGTCCTGTACCAGGTCAAATTAGATATATAAAAGTACAATTTTCTTTTGTTGCAAGGTGTGGGGAAAGATGGCTTTTCTTTTCAGTTTCAATTGAGCAATTGAACTTCTCTTATTTGTTCTTAAAACCTTCTCTGTTTTTTGTGGGGTTTTTTTGTGTTTGTTTCTTTGTTTGTTTTTAACAAAAGTCAAAGTTCTAGCTTGATTAGGCATATTTACTGTTAAAGCAAAGAATAATTTTTTCACATACTTTTTTTGTGATTATTCCTAGATTCATGTGATGATGATATAAAATCTCAGTCCAACACGATAATTGTTTCAAGTTTTTTGCTGGCAGTACTTCTAATGATACTTACCTTCTTGATTCTTCTGTGTAAATGGCAGAGGTAAATATAATTTTATTGGTTACTACTAAATAACCATGTCATGAAAATAGAGCTATCATTCCAGTCTCAGCACTCAAAATTCTTATCTGATAAATGAAGTCATAATGAAGATGTAGAAGTCAATAGCGTAATTAATATTTGAGGGAAAATTCTTCCTGGCCTAACAAACACCAAGGCCTTTAATTTTCAAAACCAGAACAATTCTGGTACAAGACAGTGTTTCAGGATAAAATTCTGTCTCTTCCACTTAATTTCTTCTCCTTTTTAGAAATCTAGTTAAATCCTGAGAAGCCCATTATTTTGGTTATTTCTTCTGAACAGACATTATTTTGTGCAACTTTCATCAGACTCAATGTCTGTTTACAGTAGGCTGAAAAGTAAGCTTGAGTGCATTCAACTTTAATAAGACTATATCAGTATTTGGATTTGCAGTTGAATGACTCGGTTCATGTTTAGAATCTACAATTAAAAAAAAAACCCCAAAAAACAAACCCAAAACCAAACCACCAAGCAACAACCACCAAAAAACCCTGCAAAAGCCCCAAATTTTGGCTATATTTATGGGGGAAAAAAACCACAACAACAAACCAAACCAAAAATGCATTATTTCAGAAAATGAACTGAAAGTATATGGGATTGTGATAAACTTTTTAGATCGTAAGTTGAGTTGTTTTCTCCTATACTTCTACGTTTCAAGTTTACATTTGTGTTCACTAAGTCAGCCAGTACAGCTGATTGCTGCACCATCTTCCCTGTCTAGGGGACTGTAAAGCTCTGATGACTGCATGAAACAGAATGGCACTTGCTGACTAGCTGGAAGTTTGTATAGAGTCCATATTTTACTAGGATAGGCTCAGTTGAAAATCCAGCAGAAAAATCACTTTTAGCCTGATGGTGTTATCATACTCTTATAACTGCTTTTTGACTTTAGAACATATTTAAAAGAAATCAAGCTAGAGTACTGTCATGTAACATACATTTGTGGCTATAGAGCTGTGCTGCAGTAGATTTTTATGAATGACTACACTATAACAAATTATTGGTTTCTATTTTTCTCCTCTTCGTAGGCTTCAAAAGTCATTCATGCCTGCTATACCAGCTCCAAAATGCATATTTGCCGATCTCTTCAATGATCATAATGGAAACTTCCAGGTAAACATTCTCTTCCTAACAAGGCTGTGAACTCTACAGTGTTGAGAATATTTTGAAAGTGTCTACTGATACATGCTCTGCACAGACATTAGCACAAGCGCCCACTGACCCAAAAGAAAAGCCCTTCCCCTCGTGCAACATCACCAAGAGGATCCACAGAGCAAATATCAGAGCTCATGCAATCCATGTAGCGCTACTTTGGCACTGTGAAAAGACACTTGCTATAGAAAGAGACAGAGAAACTGATGGAGAAGAATTTAAGGGTGTCCAAAGACACAATATCCAGTGAGATGCTATTGTGGTGTTTGCATCCATTCCTTCACGTGATAGCTCAGGGAGCATGCTTCAACTTGATCTTGCTCTTTACATTTGTGAAGTGCTGTGAGACTTAGTACTAAGCCAGTGATGGCACTCATGCCTCTGGAGGCACCAGTCACGGTAGGAAGCATCCTCTCTTAGGCACAGAGGTGTACAGTCACTAAACCTTTAGACATGAAATGGTTGTAAAATGAATAGATCACAGTTTTTGCTTTTGTTTTCTTAGTGCTTCTTGAGTCCATGACATCACATATGTGATGTATTTTTCTGTATTAATTGAGCTGTCTTTAAGATAATTACTACTAAGTTTTCTCTGAGTAGACACAGGTCAAATATCTACTTTTTCAAACCCAATGAGGTGGGGTGTTTTTACAGCTCAAAAAGTAGTAATAATGTTTCAGTGACAAACTGAAAATTTTCTATATATAGGATCACTTTAAACTGAAACTGAAGAAGAAAGATACAAATGCAAATTAATACTGAAGCCTTAATACAGAAATACTATGTTGTATAAATGTCCATGTAAACTCAATCTCAATTCAGATTAAGTCAGGGCTTGGATCAAAGAATGCATGAGTCTATCAAGGAGGGAATACCAGGTAATTTACACATCCAAGGTTTTCTAAGGGCCCTGGTTAAATGTGAAGACGTATTTAATGAGGTCTCTATAATAAGTAGGAGTTTGTATGCATTTGTGGAATCCTGTCTGCTTTCCTGCCATTCTGCCTTTTTTCCATCGTCCTATCTTATGTCCCGCTTGTGTATATTGTCTCCTTCTCATCTTCTCCATTGTGGCTTATCCTGGAAAGATGCCATTACTAAAGGAAAATCAGTGTCTGTACAGCCAGGTTTCTTTTGATTGATATCTCAGTCCATGCCAAGATCAACATTTTCATTTTCCTAGGAATGGATAAACAAAACTGATCATGTAATGGTACAAACCAAGCTAGAATATGAAGAACCAGAGTTCATCATTGAGGCAGAAAGCCTGCAAGAAGATGAGAAGAATAGTGACAAACAGGTGCCTCAAGAAAAAATCTTCAGTTTCTCAAGAGCGGCTGAAAATAATGACCCCAAAGCAGCTCAGATTGCCTGCCTGATGCCAACATCCAACACTATAGCTTCTTTTGCTGGCTTCCAGATTTTAATGAATGATGACATGTATGTGATGTTATAAAATTTGCATAATGCAGAAGGTGTTAGGAAATTACATAAAAGATCCTGATGGGTTTAGGGGAGTAGCTGAATAGAAGTTTGTCACGAGTAGACTCACATCAAGAGAGACACTAGGCTGTGTTATCTGGTTTCAGATCTTTTCTTTCCCAGGACTTATGACCACTTGGGCAGGCTCAGTGTTTGAAATAAATGCTTGATAATTTATAGAGTTAGAATTTGTTGTTCTAATTGGGGTTTCTCTCTAAGACTAAACTGAGCACCATTTTCCTGCTATGGACAGGAGAGAACAAGAGCTCCTCCATAATACATGTTCACAGAGCCAAGACACAGTCCTTGCGCTTATGGAGGATGCAGAGTAGTGAAAACTAGTCTGTTATTCTTCCCAAATGAAGAGAGAAAATAAAGGGATTCTTTTGCTAATGGTTTTTGTCTCACAAAGACCAGACCATATAGTGCTCATTTTCACAGGGATAGGATATTGCTTTGCAAGTCCTCCTTAGACTAGAAGTGCTTGCTTTGTAAGCTGCTTCTCCCATTGTGAAACTTTGTGCTGCATGGCACACATCAAAGGTTTCATAAAGAGAAAGAATGTCTAAGAACGGAAAAGTGAGGATGTACAGTATTGAGTCACTTTTTATCACAGAATCATAGAATCATAGAATGGCTTGCGATGGAAGGGACCTTAAAGATCATCTAGTTCCAACCCCCCTGCCATGAGCAGGGACACTCTCCACTTGACCAGGTTGCCCAAAGCCCCATCCAACCTGGCCTTGAATAATTCCAGGGAGGGGGCATCCACAGCTTCTCTCTGGGCAACCTGTTCCAGTGCCTCACTGACCTCACAGTGAAGAATTTCTTCCTAATATTGAATTTATGTTTGCCCTTTTCTATTTAAAAGCCCTTTTCCTGTCACTCCCTGCCCTTGTAAACAGCCCCTCTCCAGCTTTCCTGTAGGCCCCTTTAGGTACTGGAAGGCTGCTATAAGGTCTCCCTGGAGCCTTCTTTTCTCCAGGCTGAACAACCCCAACTGTCTCTGCCTGTCTTCACAGGAGAGGTGTTCCAGTCCTCTGTTTACCTTCGTAGTCCTCTTCTGGACTCACTGCAACAGCTCCATGTCCTTCTTATGTTGGAGGCCCCAGAAGTGGATGCAGTACTCCAGGTGGGGTCTCACAAGAGCAGAGTAGAGGGGCAGGATCACCTCCCTCAACCTGCTGGTCACACTGGTTTTGATGCAGCCCAGGACACGGTTGGCTTCCTGGGCTGCAAGCGCACACTGCCGGCTCATGTTGAGCTTCTCATCAATCAATACCCCCAAGTCCTTCTCCTCAGGGCTGCTTTCAGTCCATTCCCCACCCAGCCTATAGTCGTGCTTGGGATTGCCCCAACCCACATGCAGGACCTTGCACTTGGCCTTGTTGAACTTCATGCGGTTTGCACGGGCCCACCTCTCCAGCCTGTCAAGGTCCCTCTGGATGGCATCCCTTCCCTCCAGGGTGTTGACTGCACCACACAGCTTGATGTCGTCGGCAAACTTGCTGAGAGTGCACTCGATCCCACTGTCCATGTCTCCAACAAAGATGTTAAACAGCATCGTTCCCAATACTGACCCCTGAGGAACATGACTCATCACTGATCTCCACTTGGACATCAAGCCGTTGACTGCAACCCTTTAAGTGTGACCATCCAGCCAATTCCTTATCCACCAAGTTGTCCATTCATATCTTACAAGTAGTGCTGTGTAGGCAGCTTCCTTTAGAACAGTGCGGCTTCATGGGCCTCCTCTGAGATCAAGTCCTCAGTATCTTACAGTCTTCGTATGACTAAGCAACTTCTTCTAGAAAGCTGAGGTTCATTTTGAACAATATTTATATTTAACTGAGTCACATTTATTTCAAACTGCTTTTTAGTGCAATTAGCAGCTGTAGATTCAAAGTAGGCCTTCATATTCACATTGCATATACCCCTCTCTTGTTCTTAAACTATGTTCTAGTGTTTTCTAAGCATACTATCTTCCAAAATATGTTTAATTTTAAATTTAAAATGCAATATACTATGCAATTAGATCTCAGAGGAAAAAAAAAATCTGTACTATTCTGTGAGTTTCCCTGTATCACTCAGGTTACTTACTGTTTGAAAGCAAATTTTGTAAAAAAGTTTAAGTGCTAAATGCATCTATGATATGGGTAAGGCCTTGTAGATATACTGTGACTATAGGTTGAATTAGCTCCAGTTATTTACCTGGATATCAGTCAGTCATTAAATTACTATATCAGTTGACTAAGCTTTGCCAATTGCATACTTTCATTGACTAATTTATAGTGTAACTTGGAAATTGCACATATCAGAAAATTACAGTGATTAGTAAAATATTTTTAATTCAGTGCTTAAAAAATATCAACTCCAGATCTCCGTGGGAATAGTAAACAGTAATATGGATCATCAGGTCTCAAAATATGTTTCTAGGTGACCCGGTTTGCTCTACAAGGAAAAATCCGGAAATTTTCTAGCCAAATACTGGGAAACTTAACTGGAAGGATAGTTCAGGCACATTCACCAAGTTTTGCTAGACCTCAGATTTGATTGTTCGCTAACAAGATTGACATACGAGCAAAGAATTTCCCATAATTCTGAAAACCTTTCTGCCTTTTCCTATCTAATGCAGATGTGCAAGTTTTGAGGGACCTTTAGCACACCCCACATTTCTGGAAATTTTTTATAAAGGTAACCATGCAAAGTTTCAATAACACGACAAGCAATGGATTTTAAACTAATGCAAACTGTATATAATCTGATGAGCCGAATCTAGCTCAGCTCAGCTCTTCTCAGCTGATATAAATTGACATTATTGCATGAGAACCAAAGACGTTGCACCAGCTTACAACAGATAAGAGGTTGTTCCAGTAATGATTCAAACAACAAAGTCGGAAGTAAAGCCCGGAATGTATTGCTTAGTTACTTCGTGTTTGATTCACGCTTACATATGGTTGTCTATGGAGCTAGCTAGCTAGCTACCTTAATTAAACCACTTTCTGTTGAGCAAATACTTTTCTGTTTGAATTCAAAATCTTTTAGTATATTTTCCTGAAATTTTGCTCGGGAAAAAAAAAAAAAAAAGACAGTCATGTTGAAGTGTACTGTTTAAGCAGTATTCCTGAACTGAAACATTATTGTAATTTGAGGTTTTATTACAAACAACAACATCTTGTATTATATTTTAAAGACATAAAGGTTATATTTGTGTATGTATGCAACTATATTCACATTGTATATAACAAACTAGAAATAAAACAAATAAAACACCCATATATCTCAAATTTTCATTTTAAAAACAGCCCCTTATGAAGAAATTAAAACATAGGGAATTAGTGAAATTCATAACAAAGCATTTTTTCAAAAAAACCCCAAACCAACAACTTCCATTCTTGGGGAACTGGAAAAATGTCTACAGAATGATGAAGAACATGATTTAAGCAACAGGAAAGGCCCTCCCCCAGATACTGGTGATGACTTTATCAAACATGGTACGACAAGGCACATATTGCTGGGGGATCCTCAGCACATCCCTGAGCCCTGCACTCCTGGCACCTGCTGTAGCCCGTCTCCGATGAGATGTAGACCCTGGTAGCCCTCAGCCACACCAGGCACTGCTTCCCTGGGAAGGATGCCTGGTGCCCATGGCACCCTCTGCCCCAGCTCCTGGCATGAAGAGCTGGGAGCCAGCGCTCCTGGGCACACTGTGGCTTTGGGCTGAACCACTGCTCAGTGAAAGATCAATGAGATCAGAGTATGAGAAGCTCGGGCCAAATAAAGTGTCTGAAGGGTGGAATAAAATGTCTTTATGAAAATATACGATTGTATGCTTTCTGCACCAAATTTGAGGGTTTGGATGGATCTGGCACTTGAAAGAGGAATATTAGCAAGCCAGATAGTTCAAGAACACAGTTTTCTTTCAGTTAGGCTGTATAAGCAATCACCCCATCTTCGTATCGGGATTGCTTTCAACTTTTTGACATACTGACTGAAGTAATACCTTTAGCTTACACAGGTTATAGACTTGCAAGGGCATCACTTTGGTCCTAAGCCAATCAGGAGAGTCAGTTGCCTCCAACAAAACTCTAAATCTTCTAAGACTGTGACATATTAGTCACAGTGCTGCATATTACCTAGCTGTTCAAATAAGAGCCATATTCTTTACATTATAAAAATGAAGCTTTTTCTCATGCATCTGCCTGTTAGCCTAATGCTCATTTTGCAGGAGAGTCCTGGGCAGCTCTGTAGCAAAATTCAAGAGCCTTTGCTCCACAGAATAGCAGGATGGCTTGTTGCTTTCAGCTGCTGTCACAGTGACTAGTTGGAAGGAGAATAACATGAGGCTTACCTAATCGCTCATCTGCCATTTTCATCATATTGTCATCACTTTTCTCCTCTCCTCTCCTCTCCTCTCCTCTCCTCTCCTGAATCTCAGTGATTCATGCAAGCCTAGCTACAAATGAGATAATTAAATGGCCAGAGAGGAAAAGTCCTGTTCAGCTCCCCACAGTGAGAAGAAGGGTACATGGCAATTTTCACATCTTCCTTCTTATTTATTCAAAAGTTGTCATGTTCTTCAAAGGCATGAATCCCTCAGATGCTACATACAGTTCCTAATTATATCCCACAGAATGAGAGAAAGTTTGCATCATATGGTAGTCCGGACTAATTGAACGGTACTTTCTAAACAGAAGAACAAACAGGCTGTATATTCTTCATGCAATTTATGTGCTAGCTATACCACTGCTTTTTTTTTATATTGATAGATTGAACATCTATACTGTTTGCTTTGCTTGGGATGTCTGATTTTCAGTGAGAGGAAGAATAGGAGGAAATCACTTTTTTTTTTTAAACAAGTTACAGGACTTATTGAAGCCAGGATTGCAACTTCTGCTTTCTCTTATTTGTGTTGTTTGGGTTTTTTTATTACATTAGCTTTTTTTCAATTTATTTGCAACTTAAATTTTGCAC